AAGTTGGGCTTAGGAAAGAGCATTCTGAGATTCTGTTCCGTGAGCTACATACTGCCTGCTCACACTCTTCCAACCCCAGATTTACAGGTGAGGAAACCGAGGCACAGAGAAAGTAAATCACACAAACATACAAAAAAAAAAAAAAGCTTCCCAAATGAGCCTAGGTGTGTGGCAGGGCAGCCTGGCTGTCACACAGAGTCCCATCCCAGAAGAACCCAAGCTGCTTTGGTGAGCCCGGCAGCCAGAGTGTCCTTGTTCCATATGCTATGCTGCTGAGAAACAACCTCACGTCTCAGAGGTTTGTTTCCTGTTCTCTCTACAGAGCTCTAACCCCAGTCAGCCCCAGGACCCAGACTATGGGCAACCTGTGTGCAAGCACCCTCAATCAAGACAGATAAAAAAAAAAAAAAAAGAGGATTTCCATGTGCTCGCTCTGACCAGGATGCTTTGGCCCACAAGTGGCAAGGTCACGGTGCCTGAATCTCAGTGGCTGTCAAAGGTGGCCTACTGTATAGCTCAGGAGCAGCAGCCACACCCAGAACTGCCAGTAGATTTAAACAGGCTGCTCATTAACCTGCAGAGGTGACCACAGCAAGCCCAACTGACCGTTCACAAAAGATCTCTGCAACCAGCCGTCTCCCTTGATCTTGAGGTCTTTATCCAGGCCTTAGTGTCTTGCCCTGTGCCTCTCTCATTGCCAGCCCAACTCCCCTGCCTTTGCTGAACACAGGCTTTATCTTCAGGGGAGGGACGTAAAGTGGGTCCTCACAGCAACTCAATTACGCCTCCATTGGAAAGTCTAACACAATCAATTCAGGGAGCCGGCCGACATCATAACACAGTAATTAGGAACAACTTCCAACTCAGGGTTTCCTTTGAAGATGGTAATTGCAATTAATTAAACATCCTCACTGCTCCTCAGAATCTGTTCCTGGGGAAACCTGGGGAGATGGGTCCTACCTCTATTCCTAACAGCCTGGGACTCAAAGCATGTCTGTCTCCTTTGAATCTGGCAAGGCATGGAGTTACCTGGAGCAGCTGTGAGGTGGGAGGGACCCGGCTTCTTGATTCTGCATCTGTATCTCCCCTCCCCCCTTTTCTGCCATTCCCTGAATGGAAAGGGCCCCAGGATGCCCTGCGTTGGCCCAGAAAGGTGATACCCCAGATTATATGGCTGCTCGAGATACTGAGCACCTGCTGTGTACAATTCTGCCGTGTATGCACCAGGACAGAAGCCCCACCACAGAGAGGTGGGTGCTTCTCCCGGGAGTCAGGGCTCCTCACTAGGTGGATGCATCCTGAGGTATCTCAAGAGGATGAGGGGCCCCGGGAGACATTGGGGCAGAAGGCTGGCTAGCCCTTAAGATATGGTAACATATATGGAACAGCTTACAAACCCTAGTGTGGATGTTGGCTTGAAACCCCTGAAACGTTGAAAGGTGGAGGTAAGTGCCACCATCCAAGGTGACCCTAGAAGAAATGCTTTCCCTTCAACATCTGATAATTTGAAGGCTTGTTTGGTTTTTGGTGGTGGTGGTGGTGGTGGTGGTGGTGTTTGAGACAGGCTATCCCTAGGCAGCCATGGCTAGCCTGGAGCTCACTATATAAGCCAGGCTAAACTTGAATTCATAGAACTCAGCCACCTCTGTCTTCTAAATGATGGAATTAAAGGCATGTGCTGCTATACCTGGCTTTGTTTGAGGCCTTAGGATAGTTAGTTTTGCCCACTTGACACAATCTAAAATCATCTGGGAAGAGGGTCTCTCTCACTGACCCTCTGGCCTGTGGAAAAGGTTGTCGGAATTAAGCTCATGGATGTGGGATAATCCAGCCCACTGCGGGCAGCTCCATTCCCTAGGCAGGGGTTCCTAACTTTACAAGAGTGGAGGACTGTGCTGAGCATAAGTAATCAAGCAGTCTTTCTGCCCTTGACTGTGGATATGATGTGACTAGTTAAATTCCCGCCTTGATTCCCCGCAGTGATGGACTGTAACCTAGAACTGCTCTCTGAAGAAACCCTTTCTCTCCTAAGTTGCTTTTGTTTTTTTGTTTTTTTTTTTTTTAATCACAGCTACAGAATTGAAACTAGGACATGCCTCATGTATTTATGATCCAGACATCATGAGACTTGGAAGGCAGACAGCTAGAGGCAGCATCAGCGGTAGAGAGAAGGGGCCAAGAGCCCCAGAAGATGAAGCACAAGGGAAGTTAAGCCAGTGGCCATAGCAAAAACAGCACTGTGAGTGCTCTCCCTGTGTAATGAGGAGAGCAATGTAGGCGGAGGTCAGGAAGGGCTGCCCAGGCCTTCCTACCTCCATGGCCCCACCCTCCTAGGGGCAGAATCTGCCTTCACAGCCTCAGCACCACTCAGCACACATAGGCGTCTAGCCAGGCTTTACACAACAGCAAATAGACCCCAGTCTGAACTGTGTGGGACAGAATGCTCCCTGGGAGTATAGGGGAAGGTGGGAGATTTAGCAGGAGCAGGCCATGGGGTCACAACCCTTGAACTTCCTGCCCATGGTTCAGCTCCTATCATCCTTTCCAACCTTTGCTACTGTGGACAGGTCCTTAGAGAAGCAGTGATTAAGTGCCTGGCTTCCCGGACCTGGGAGCATGGCTCTGAAGCACAACCAATACAACCTTCATGCCAAAGGGACTAACTCTGGTAGCACAGACCAATGTCAACTGGTGTGTGGTACTCTCTGAGACATGGGAATGCATTCACCATGGGGCACATTTGAGTTCCTGCAGCTTCTAAACATGTGGCTGTTCTTTCTGAAACAGTTCATGGAAGCCAGCGGCCTTTGGCCAGGGAGACGATGAAGGTACATAACATACCAGTTGAGCTAGCCTGGTGGGAAAGGCAGTCTAAGGACACAGCCAGGAGGCTAGGAGGCAGGGCTTCCATGATAACCCTGAGCCTGGGGAGCAAACTTCCCTGAAGCTTGTGTTACTGGCCATTCCAATGACCTGATCCTCCAGTCCTTCCTGTGGTCGAGGCTAGCCTGAGCTGTCTCTTTAGCTTGGCAGAACTCCTGCTGGGGCATTTGACCCCTGCTCCACTCCCTGGGACTGCCCCGTCTTTACCTACACTGTCCCCTCTGCCTCCAGCACCTTTCCCGACCTACAAGGCAGGCTCCCCCTCACCTCTGCATTCTTAGCTGAAGTGCCACCCCCTGCAAAAGGCTTTCACATCCTGCTTAAAATAGTGTGTATCATTATTTCTCATGTCACTCCTATGTTTCCTTGTGATGTTTAATTTCCCGTTTGGTAACTCACTGTGTGTTGGGGGGGGGGGGGTCTTGGTGCCTTGTATTCTCAGATTGGACCAAGGCTCTGTCTCTGAGCTCTCAACCACAGGCTTTTGAAAACCGCTTTGAAAATAAATTTCTAGAAAGTGGGGTTAAAAACATAAAAGGTACAACCCCTGGATGTTCATTATGATACCATAGTCATAAAATGACTCCATCACTGCTGTGAGAGAGGAGGTGTGTGCTCCATCTCCTGCAGGGCAAGCTGACCTGGGGGGACTTACTGGCCTGGAGGACTCCTCATGATGTCAAGAAGGCAGTGATTAAGGGCTTGGCTTCCTGTCCCTGGGAGCATGGCTTTGAGGCATGCCCCATGATGGTTGTTGGAGGGGTTGTTTGTTTTTGTTTTGTTTTGTTTTCGGGGGCTGAGGGGACCAGCTTCCAGCTGTCCACAGTGTGATCTGATTTGCATCCATCCATCTTCCCCATTGGTTTCTGGATACCCTGCCTGTGTTTGGAGGAGAACCTCCACCCTCATCTAGGGGTTGTTTTTAAGGAGCCTAAGCAGCCAATAGACCATATGGACAAACACTAGCACACAGTCAAAATGGAAGCTGCCTTATTAGGAATCAAATGCCGGATGGCGTTATAAGGATGCTGTTGGGCATCTCTGTAGAGCTGAAGAGATGCCCAAAGGTTTGAGAAGGCCCCTAGAGGAGAGGCTGGAGTCAGGCCAGCGCAGTGGAGGAGGAGAGGGACAGAGAGAGACCCTTCCTCCATAGCCCCAAGCTGTCTTTGGTTGCTGTGCTGTGTCCTTCTCATGCTGTTTCCTCCTTCTCCTCCTCCTTTCCCTGCTTCTCCCTCACATCCCCGAAAGTGAACATTCCATCTAAGTTGTTCTGCCAGGACTTGGGAAATTTTTTCTTCCCAGCACTGGGAAATTATAAATAACTCCTGGATTAGAAGAAACAAACAAAAGCAAAAGCAAAAAAATCTCTGAGTCCAGCTGCTCTTGGGTAGGAATGGGCCTCCAGCCCACCAGGAACCCAAAGCCCCCAGGCAGAATGGAGTCCTTCCACTAAGAGCCACTCGACCTTACTACGTGATAATATCCCACGATTTAGGATACCAGGGCTAGGCAGTCCTCCCTTGCAGCCCACCTACTACTGGCATAAAAAATAAAAATAAAATAAAAACCTGCCTGGAATTTGCCACCTAGAAAGGGACAAGCCGGAAGCCCAGGTCCCAAGAAATCGTCTCGGATTTTCAAGGGGAGTAGACAGCACCCTTCAGGGAGGGGACAGAGAGGAAGGCAGGCTGTCAGAATCCCTTCCTGACACTGCCTCTCACATACTTTCCACGCTTACACTCTACCCCTGTACGCCCCTAGCAGCTGTCATAGAAACCAGCGACGCTGTGGCACTTGGAGTGAGGCAGCACCCAGCTACTCCTTGGAAGCCAGGCTGTCCTCTTCTTCCTATCTGCCAGGTGAGATCGTAAATTCCCATCCTAGTGCTGGGCAGGAGAGCGGACAACTGGGGCGGAGACCTGACCTCCTACTCTCCCCGGATCTTCTCCTCCTCGCAGCCTGCCTGGGTCACCTTTTCCATCTGGCTCTCAGACTCATTGGGCGCTTGAGTTCGTGCAAGGCATGATGTCCCGCGCGCCCCCCTCCCCGGATTTCCCGACGCACGGAGCAGGGCGAGGCCCGGACGCGACGCGGAGGGGACTGGAGAGGCAGAGGCTTTATTCGCTGTCGCGGGCGAGGCCGCGCCAAGGAGGACGGCCGGCTTCGGGAGGGAAGGCGGCGGCCGCAGGCGCCAGCAGGACCAAGCCGGGCGGCCGTCTGGCGCCCACGTAGCTCAGCGCCAAGCGCTCCAGGCGCCGCTTGCGCTCGGCTGCCTGCGCCGTGGCGTGCAGGGGTCGCAGCAGAGCCGGGGGCGGCGCGCCGGGGCCGCGCAGCAGGAAATCGAAGCCCGCGCGATCCCGCGGGTCGTAGAAGAGCGGCCCGGTAGCCGGGTCGGGGCCTGGCGGCCAGGCGAACGGAAAGGGCAACGTGAAGTCCTCAGTGAGCACGCGGATGGCGAAGTCGTCCTCTTTGCCCAAAGCGCGGTAGGCGCGCCCGATGCCGCGGAAATGGGCCTCCCAGAGCTGCGCGTCGCCGCCGTAGATGTCTGGGAAGCGGGGCGCGGGGGGCACAGCGGGACCTGCGGCGGGCGCGACAGTTAGCGGGGGGGGGGAACCCTACGCTTGTCCCCGGCGCGGGGAGGCTGGGGAGGGGAGCGCCGGGACACGGAAAGAGAGGCCACTCGGAGACAAGAACCCAGGTGAGGGCCACCTGAGCCCTGAGGAGTGAGACCTGAGCCCCTCTCAACACCGAGGACAGCGCCTACGAGGCTGAGAAGGGGCTCTCAAGCCCAAATGGGACCAAGGGGGGGGTCTACCTCCATCTCTGACCTCTCTCCTGCCTCTTTGGTCACCTCTCCTTCCAAAGGGGAAGTTGTCCACTTTGCTGAGGGGACAGCATCGACAGACTGTGGAGGCCTGCAAAGGTCCTGAGAGTATGAGAAAGTCAGGCCCCTGAGCACAAAGTTCAGGGTGGGGAGGAGGCTAGTTTAGCCAGGAAGCTCAGTAGGATTCACCCAGCAGGTGGTGGCATGCAGCAGTTGGTGCAGGTGTCTGAGTCACTCGGCAAGAACGACTCTGACTACTGCGGATACAGCGGACTAGTCCCCCGGCCTGGGGTCTTAAGCTTCATCCCCATGAGGACGGAAGTAAGGATGGTGGAGCACTCGGCTGGAGATATGGGGTGTGGGAACTTGGCATGACAGCAGATGCTAGGTCCCCAAGACAAGGACCAATGCCAGGAGCTGGAGGACTCATGCTGGAAAGTATGTGGGTTCCCACAATGCAATGGGAGTCACCATTCCATTTTTGCTACAGGCAAGGGTCTAAGAACAGGAAAGTCATGTGGGAGTGGCTGCAATAACCCCCCCCCCTCCACAGTGCCACACCATGCCATGCCCAGGAGCCTCTTGGTTATAATTCTTACACAGTGCACTTACTGAGCATCTGCTGTGTGCAGACAGGAGCTGCACTATATACTGTCTGTAGCCATGAGCCAGACAACAAAGCCCATTCTTCCACCTTCATAGATAAGCAAATGCCTTCTTGAGTCAGAACCTCGGGCAGCACAAGGGGTGTTATGCCAGGAGGAGAGATGAAGCGGAGGTGATCTCCCCAGTGAGGAGAGCCAGGCCTGCAGATGGCTTGTGATGAGTGGGCAGGACCTGCAGGGCCACACCCTGAGTCCACAGCTCAGAGGACCAATGAGGTCTCGGCCTCCAGCCCTGCAAGCCTATCCTGACTTTCTGGCAGCCTTCTGAAGTCCTTATCTTAACTGCTCAGTACCAAGGTGGGGTGCAGCCACAGAAGGGGCCATGAGAATTCCTCTGAGAGGTAGAGAGAAGCTTTGGAAAAGAAAGGTGGGTCCTGGGAGAGAAGACGGAGACTCTCTCACAGTCCCAGGCATGGACATGGTAGTTTTATCAGGTGAGTGTAGCTTGTAGAGGTAGGGGGAGGGAGGGCAGTAGCAGGGAGACCAGGAAGACACAGCAGTCTCTCGTCTAGATGAAGGCAGCTGGGGCCAGGACAGCTATCAGAAGAGGGCTGCTTCTGGACGTGTCTTGAAGCTAGTTAGTGTGGAGGTGTGGAGTAGGAGCACTATAGAAAATGTAAACCCCAGGCCACCATATGCTGAAGAAGGGGGAAGCTGAAAGGGAAGCAGCTGAGGACAGGGGATTGAGATTTTGATTTGGGACAGGTTGGGTTGAAGCCCTCAGATGGGCTGATGGGCTGATGGAGAGCACAATTGGCTGGAGACAGACCTGGGGAAATGGCATTTAGGGTCAAAAGAGTGGATGAAACCACCAGGGAAGGGAGGGAAGAAGGGAGAGAGGGAGAAAGGGAGAGAGGGAGGGAGGGGCGGAGGGAGGAAGTAGGGTAGGAAAGGGGAGAGGAGAGACAAGGAGAGGAGAGAAAAGAGGGGAAGAGAGGGGAGGACAGAGGAGAGGAGATCCAGAGCCAAACCTGGGGCCATCTGTCCTTGCCAGGTCAGGGAGAGGAGAAGCCAGTGAGGGGACCAAGAAAGAGACAGTGATATAGGAGCAGTGTGGGAGATTCTGGAAACCAGACAGAAGCTGAATCACATGCTGCCAGTGGGTCACATCAAATAAGGCCTCGGAGCTGGCCTCAGATTTAACATCCTGGAGGTCATCAGTGACCTTGACCTGAATCGCTTCAGGGAAGTACAGAAATTAAGCCTGATTAGAGTAGGTTCAAGAGCAAATGGGAAAGAAAGATTTGGAGGCAGCAAGGACAAGTGACCTTCTGTCAGGTTTTTGTTAATAAATGAGGAGCAGAGAAATGGGGCAGTCACTACGAGGGAGGTGAGCTTGAGAGAGAGAACAGAGAGCCACCCACCTCTGTGGTAACAGCAAAGGAAACCCAATGCTTCTGCCTGAGGCAGAGGGTGGCTTGGGTGTGGCTGAGTAAGACAGAAGGGCAGGCAGCGGGCCTTGGATGGGAGGGCAGGTGACCAGAGTCAGTGATGGAGGGGGAACAATTCCTAAGTCCTCCTATGATGGCTTCAGTGCGGGGTGGGGGGCTCACAGCCAGCTGTGCTGAGGAAGGGCACACAGAAAGAAGGCATCTGGCTGTTGCTAGGAGAGAGACCAGGCAACCAAGGAAGTAGTCAGGGGCCTGGCCTGGTGGAGGCACCCGGCAGGCAGCTGTTAAGAAAAGAGAGTGAAGCCAGATTAATGGACACAAACAAGGGTGGGGTGGCATGGGGGGGGGAGTTGCCAGGCAAGGACAGGAGAAAGAGGAGGCTGAACGGGTGGGAAGTGAGTGAGATGAAGCTGGGAATGCAGGGAGATGGCTAAAAACAAAGGGTGTGCTCCCCCCAAGTGGGGAGCTTCCTCAAGGGAGCAGAACAGAGAGGAATCCCAAGATGGATGTAGAGGAGCTGTAGTGTGCATGCTGACCAGGCCTTGACCGAGCGGAAGGAATGGATGGCTTGGAGCAGATGAAAGAGGCCGGAGCCTGGGGAAGGGAAGAAGTCAACCAGACAGATGGGAAAAGTCAGTGAACAGAGAGGGTGGTGTCTCCACTAGGGCAAAGGGGTTGAGGGCCTGGGGTCCTAGAGGGTTTTAAGGAGGTGTGGCTAGAATAAAGAAGGCCTGTCTACTCTTCCCCAGGAGGGAATCCTAGAGCAAAGCAGAGAGAGGAAGCAGGAAGGAATGGAAAAGAAAAGACTGATGCCCTCACCTTTAGAAAGTGAGCGCCACCCCCACTTCCTGGAGGCTATCTGGACTGCTGCTCCCTGTCCCCACATTCGCAGACACCCACCCACCCCCTTATCACTCATATTCCCCAAGTGTCTCACCTGGAGTGGTGACAGGGGGTGGAGGCAGACCAGCAGGGCTAAGGTCTCCAGAACAAGGAGAAGCCATGTCAGAAGCCAGGGTCCCACTTCTGTTTACTTGGCTTCCCAGGAGACTGGGTAGGGCCTTCTGGAAGACAGAACTTTGCGTTTAAAGGGGCCCCATCTGGAAAAGGGTTGGGGTCTGGGGACAGGGGTCATGAGAGCCAGAAGGCACCTACATATTGTCTTGTCTCAGATCACTCTAGTATTCACATCCCAGTCTGGGCCCACAGGGCCACTGAGAACTTGATTCCCCTCAGCCACACTAGCTAGAACCTCAGGAGTGTTCCCAGAGCCCAGGAGCCAGATCATTACATCTCCTGCTTCAAGAAGCCTCTGTGGACTTGTATTTCCCTCTCCATCCCCACCAATGAACACAGCACCAGTAGAGAGACCAAGGATATGGGGCTGGGGCTGAAAAGGTAGGACTCTACAGCAGGAGAGTGGGCAGAAGGGCTCCCTTCATTGGAGCGCTGGGCACTGTGGCATAGCCTCCCTGTGGTGCCACCCTTAGCATTCATGGTCCAGAAACTAACCATCGTCCCTGAAAGAGGCTGGAAGGTATCACTCTCCTCCGTACATGCCTGCAGGCTGTAGAAACCAAGACAACTTCAGAAGAAATGAATGTCCATGTTTGTAGCTGGGTCTGGGGCCTGGAAGAGAGAAGACCCAAGCTCCAGCCACCATGTGAGAAAGCTCACTGTCAGGGGCTATTTGTTACACGGCCAAACTGACTGATACAGCAGCACTGCAGTGGGAGAATGGGGCCAGCTTTGTGGAAGAGTAGCCTATTTATCATGCCACCACCATCACATCTGCATTTTCACAGCTCCTGCAGTGCCTTGCCATCCTCTGCAGGGCAAGCACACTCTTGTCCTTCAGGTACCATTCTCTGCTCCCCCTTCCAAGATGCACTTGTAGTCTTTTCTGCATCTCCAAGCCCACAGAGCCTTCAAGGGAAGTCACCTGTCTGAATTAGTTCCTCCCTTGACTTCTGTGGCCTCGTGCATCGTGGTGTGGAGTGTGTCTTGCTCTAGGCAGCCCATACTAGGACCGTGCCCTTTCCTCCATTCAGTCACAGTGAGAGGGCTGAATACCCTCCCAGTCCCCAAACAGTCAGAGCAGGAGGTAAAATGCAACTTGCTCCCATGACTTCCCTGCCTGTTAGGGAGTGCTGGTCCTGGGTAGAGCCACCCATGATGCTCCACTCCAACAGAGCTTTGGTTCTGTGCCCCATGTGCATGAGCCCCACTTACATAAGCTTACACTCTCAGTGCCACATCAGTGTGCCACCCTGTTCATCCTCCAAAGCCATGAGCCAGTAGCCCCCATCCTTCCCCAGCCCTAGCAGCCACTGCTCCCCATTGTTGGGAGTCCACTGACTTCAGATATTTTGTAGGAATGAGACCAGCTGTGGTAGCTCTTTTCACTTAGCACAGTGTCTTCACGGGCAGCCACACACCCAAGACATCAGCTTTCCTCCTTGTTAAAGGCTGGATGATATTCCTCTGGGTGCCTAGTCATGTGTCCCCATCCATTCAGTCGTAGATGGACGCAGGCTGCTCCTACACCTTGGCCTTGAGGCAGCTGCTGCAAGGAAGGAGTAATACCTCATGAGATCCTAATCTTGATGTTTTGGATGTGTGCCCAGAAGGCCAATTACTATATCATATGGTGGTGCTATTTTTAATTTTCTGAGGAACCTCCATACTGTTTCCTTTACTGGTTGCACCATGTGACATTTCACCTACAAGGCAGGAGTGTTCCCCTCCCCCATGTCCCTTAGTCTTCCTTCCTGACAGTCTGTCCTGATAGGTGAGAACTGACAGATCACCATGGCCCTGATGGCACTGCCTGGGTTTCTGGTGATGGAGGCACCTGTTCATGTACCTGCTGGCCCGGTGTCTGTCTGCTCTGGAGAATGTCACCCTGCCCGGCTCTTTCATTGGGTTTTTCTGTCTGTTGATGACTTGTCTGTTTTCTTTTACTGTTTGGCTGTAGCACCTTATCAGAAAGATGGTTGCCAGTACCTTTTTCCCCTGGAGGGGGAGAAGGAGAAGGGGGAGAGCTGCTTTTCTGTTTTGCTGTTTTCTGTGCTTTACCAAGGTGTTTTGCTTGAACACTGTCTTCCCCATCTATCTCCACCTTTTTTCACCTGTGTTTTTGGTCTCATATCCAGGGAGATCAATGACAAGCCACTTGACCCTTAAAGGTCTTGCAATTCCCAGCCTGAGCGGATGTCTCTGGAGGGTATGAGCTGGCCAAAGGGACTGCACTGTGCTGCTGAGAAGAGGGGTGCAGACACATGCCTGGCCCCTCCAACAGCAAAGCAGCTCTTCCATCCTCCTCCCACTGGGCCCAGCACAGTTCAAGGATCTGCAGCCCAACAGCTCAGGGAAACCAGGGCTGGCTTCCCAGAGGACAAGAAGATGTAGGAACGTGTATAGCGTTTCCTTATGAAGGGAGCAAATTCCAGGACACATGAGTTGCAGGGGGCGGGAAAAACGCATCGCTAGAACATTGAGGGCTTGGGAAAAGCAGAAGGTAGGCCTGCCCTAATGTGGGTCAGGTTCCTCTGCTAATGGAGCCAGTATGCAAGGGGTTGGTAGTAGCTCTCAAGACAAAACCAACCCAAGTCTACTACCCTGAGGAGGTAAGAGGCTGGACTCCGAGCCTGTAACTGCACGAGGAGGGTGCTATTAGGGAAGCAGCTCACTACAGGGGCTCCAAGGTTGGACAGCAGGCTCAGAGGAGTTCCAGCCTTCATACCCCCTCCTCATAACTCCCCCCACTGCAGCCTTCTGATCACAGTCCTGTCTGTGACCACAGCGCCACCTACTGGCTGCACGGGGGAGCCAAGCAGGTGAGATACTTGAGGTAAAAAGGGGAGCCTAGTACCCTGGAAAGAGGGTGTCAGGTGGCCATGACGCCTCACGCCCACTTGTTTAGTGGCTTGAGTTTGCATCCTGCTTCTGCCGCTGACAGCTGTGTGACCTCGACCAATGTATGCCCCGCTCTAAATTTCATCCCAGACCAGGACCGTGGGCACATCTGACCTTTGTATGACATGAGCAAGAAGTGAACCCTAGGAGCACGGCCGAATTCAGGTCCTCAAACACCAAGGATGCTCATGACTCACACAAAGTCGCCGGTACAGTTTCCCATCCACACAGGTATGGCGTACAGTTAACGGTCTCAGCATAGAGAGAGGACGGTGACACAGCCACAAACCCCGGAAGGGACAGGTGTGGGAACTTGTGATACTCTGCTTAAGCTTCCTGTGGCTTTATTTAGCAACCAACCCGCAAACTTTCTGAAAATTCAGGACTCACGAAGCCTGTTGAGCTGGCTTCCACACACCCTTGTTCAAGGGCTCCAGACAGAAAATGGCGATCAGATCCCAGGATCCACCACACACAGAAGCCACAGAACCAGCTATGCCATGGCCTCCCTCGTGAATGGGTAAGTAAGAAGGTATGAGCCTCCTGAAACAGACCTGGGGTCCCGACTCTGCCAGAAGCAAAACTCATGGCCTGGGGCTCATGAGCATCAGGAAGTCTGAACTGACAAGATCAAGGTGTCAGCCTACACCATGTCAGCTAAGGGTCTCTTTCTGGTTGCAGACGGTCCCTTCTCCAGGGTGTCCTTGCATGGCAAGGGCCCTTGGGCCTCGTTCACCTGGTTACTACTTCCAGTGTTTTGTCCTAGGCAGGGAAACTAAACTAGGGCAATCATGGGGTCTTGCAGGTCGGAGCCAGGGCCTCTTACAGCAGACTCTGAAGCAAAGGTGACCAGTCCTCAGTCTCCAGGGACTTCGCCCAGACCACTGGCCTTTGCAGGCGTCATCCACGCATGCAGTCTCAAAAGATGTCGAGGTTGCACTCAGCTCTGTGGTGAGCCAGACGCCTGATGGGTCACACCTGGCTTTTCTCTCTACCTTCCTCGGGTGCCCCAGCCGCCAGAGCTGTCTTGACCATTCCAGAAGAGCAGACCCCAAACCCTCAGGCTGTCTGCACAGGCTGACCCTCAGTACTTCACAGGTCTCCAGCCCAATATCCTCAACTGCACCCCCCCCCCCCCCCCCGCTCAAGGCCTGTCTTCCTGCTTTGCATCCCACATTTTGTTGGTGAGAGTGAACTATCAGCCAGGTCTGCCATTGCTGCCGTCTCCTGCATCCTATTGTTGGACTGGGATGGTGTCCACCATTTGTCGACAGAACCAAGATGTCCCTAGCCTGTCCAGGCACTGTGCTGGAGTACTCTGTCCTTACTGAGCCTCAGAGCAGCGCAGGAGCTTGGTAGATGTGCTCCCATTTCACAGGTGGGGATACTGAGGCACAGAGAGGTTGAATGCCAACACGAAGCCACAGGGTCAGTAAATGGGAAGGCTGAATTTGGTGTGGGGCAGTTTGCTTCTCCCTGTACTTGGAACCTCAGTCTCGCCTCACCCCAAGAGCCGTGTCCTTGAGAGGATTTGGGTAGGGGGAGGTATCTATGCAACAGCACCCAGACATGAGGGCATAGCACCCCATGTGCTCACCTGGAGCCCTCGAGAGCAGTCACAGCCCCGGCCTAGGCCCTACTATCACCACAGGGTCCTGGACTCATATAACAGATGCTTCACTTAGCCACAAGTCACAGAGAATGTCAGTGATCTAAGGAACCAAGAGACGGACAGGAGGCCTCTATGGGGACAGATGTCCTCATTGCATGTGTAGCCCAAAGCACACTTCCTCAACCTACCATCCTCAGACAGTGCTGGCTCCACAATACTGTCCCTACAAGGGTGCTGTGGATACTGGAGCCATTGTGACCTCAGGGTGAGGTCAGGGCCACTCAAGGCACCAGATAAGGGACAATGCCCAGGATGGAACTAGCCTGTCAGTGAGGATAGGGCTGGAAACTGAGACCTGTGGGTCTCCTGCTCGGAACCTCAACATGGATGGGCAGCCTCCTGACAGGTCACTCAGCCGAAACTCAAATGATGCTACGTCATCAGCCATGTCCCACAACCCCAGGTCAGTTCAGC